AGTAGAGGAGGTCTCCACGTGGCTAGAGAATTGTTGGAGTGGGCATTCTACAGTAAGATAAGAGATGGTGCTTAGGGTGGGAGGTGCTTGAAACTGGGATTTGGGAGGAGGTATTGTTATTGATGACCAGAGTATGGCCGTAAGATAGATGACAGAGGTGGACTGGAGGAAAAGCTTGTTGAACACGAGTTCAAGGGAGTAGGGATGGAGAGGAAGATAGGGAGTTTGGTGCTGAAAGACTGAGATGGTGATCACACGTGGCACTATTGAGCACTTGAACTATGGCTAACATAATTAAGAAATTAAAGTTTTAATTTAATTTAATTTTAAATCATTTAAATTTAAGTAGCCATATATGGCTAGTGGCCACCATTCAATAAAAGAAACTGAAAGATTTAGTCACCTGATCTTAGTTTTATAATGCCAGCTAAATTGATAGATTTGAATTGGATTCAATTATTCTGTGGCACTGTTCTAGCTGCTGTTCTAATCTGCTATCAGTACAAACCTGAACAGGTCACATGTGTCCTTACCTTTATTATTTCATCAAGTTCTACAAGGGTCAGACGAGGCATTACCAGAGAGTCTGAAGATGTCCTCAGGGAGGCATTCACCCCATCCATGTGTTCTCTCACTTTGTTGTGTTGTTTCTGTAGGAAGGAAGAGTAAAGGACAGAAGAAGAGAAGGCGGCTTTAGAGAAAGCACCAGAGAGTGGTCAATGTCCACTCGTTGTCCTTGCCCCAGACAGATCCGGGTTCCAATCTCAGCCCCACCGCCTAATTGCTGTGCGCTTTGGGGACTTCTACCCTTTGAATGCTTAGTTTCCTCACCATGACACCGATATAACAAAAGGAGGCACCTTGGGAGCGTTGAAGCTTGTAGATTAATACTTAAAACATCATCATCTCAGAGCTAACACTCACTTCTCCATAAATGTAAAGTGGAACTATGAAGACAGGATTGAATGTAGGCTCTATATTTGCAATAATTGGAAAATAAATTAATTCAGAAAAGTATCATGTGCTAACTTGGAGCACAAATAGCTCATTTGGGTAGGAATAAAGCATATACAGGATAATCTTAATGTCCTTTGTAAAATTTAAAATGGCTCTATTATTAAAGCACAAAATTGTGATTTTGCTTTCTCCTATTCTGAGCTCATTATGTTAGATGCTCAGAATTTTTGAGGAGGGAACCTGCCTAAGTTGCTGATATATATATATATATATATATATATATATATATATATATATAATTATATTTTATTGATTTTTTACAGAGAAGAAGGGAGAGGGATAGAGAGTTAGAAACATCGATGAGAGAGAAACATCGATCAGCTGCCTCCTGCACACCCCCACCGGGGATATGCCCGCAACCAAGGTACATGCCCTTGACCGGAATCAAACCTGGGACCCTTCAGTCTGCAGGCCGATGCTCTATCCACTGAGCCAAACCAGTTAGGCCCTAACCGTTAGGGCACTGATATAGTTTTTGATGAATGTTATAATTTCCACCTTCACTGTTGGACAGGGATGTTGTGATTCTGAAGAAATATTATGGAGCTTCAAATGAATTCAAACAAGAATGAAACTTTAAGAGAAAAAAGTAAAAAATTAATTACAATAAAAAATGAGTTAAAGTTACTTTGAAAATGGTAATTTAAGTTAGGGTTGAAATATACAAGCTATGGTATAATCTAGGATATCCTAGAAATAATTACAGAAGCTCAGATATAGTAGGACATTCATTAAAACTTAAGTTCATCTTAATGTCTTCCTTACTTCCTGAGGTCTTTCCTGATTTAGTGGAAAGAAAGATGGAGTCCATCTTCTCCAAATGTGTTGCTACAGGGGAAGATAAAGGTCTAGGGACAGAAAAGAATCTCATTTGAACATCCCCTTAATGCAAGGACATTAAAAATATCAATTTCCCCTCAATATCCATCAAGCTTAATACAGTGTGACTATCTGGGGTTAATTATTCTTATCTCCACAAGGAGCAGTATTTATACAGCTCTGCACAAAAGCAATATTTTAAAGTATATAAGGAAGGGAGATGGAAAACGGTTGGCATTAGCTCTATCAGAGCAGTTTTCTTTTGACAGAGTCTGAGCTAAAACACCATCTGGAAGCCCTGAGTCTGGGTCACCTTAAGGGAACACTGCTAACACCCCAAGGTCATAGCCAAACTTCAAAGCCGAGGTTTCACAGCACTGTATAGCAAGTTCATTTGCAGTAGTTGGAAAATGATATGCTTCAAATTAAAGGGTTTCCCCCACTTATCATATATACCGTTAGACAGAATGAATAAAATTAGCTTTGAAACAAATAAAGATATTCCTACAGAAAGATGGTCAACTTGAACAAAAGAAAGTTTTCAAAATAATTATGAAAATGACATAATTAGCACTATTCTGCATGCTAAGTATCCATTGCACATATACAAAAAAAAAAAAGTTTCCTGATCCTAAAATAAATTATAGAAACAGTCCTGGGAAGGCAGAGCTTTGGCTTATAAGACTCTCTAAACAGTGCTTTTAAAAGAGTATTTAACCTACTTTTGAAATATAAAATTTTATATTTATCTGAAAAATATTTTTATCATGCTGCTACCCTTTGGTGTTGGGAGTAGGATAGTGAGGTAAATATGTAATTATTAGATCTGTGGCTGCTGTTAGCAGACATCGAAATGATTTTTTTTTTTGGTTTTGTATAAAGACTGGATTTTGGGGTTATAATAATTAATAAAATTAAAATGCTTTGGTTGAGTGGGGGAGACAGATCCGCTAACAGATGGTCACAATACAGAAGGAAATGAGCATAAGGCACACTATGGGATTGCTGGAGAGGAGCTCCCGCTCATCGGGAAGGATGGGGTAGCTTCCTGGAGGAGGTGAAACCTGGGAATCACCCAGGTATCAAGGAGAAGAAGTCTGCTTCCAGGCACAAGGGATTATTGTAGCGTGAGATTGTCTGAACTGAACGTGTGAAGCAGGGAAAAGGCAAGAGGTATGGCTGAGGAGGCTGGCACGGGCCCATCAGAGAGGCATCTGTATGCCATGTGAAACAGCATAGATTTTCCTATAGGACAGTGTCTTTCACTTGTTTTTGACCATAACCCACAGTAAAAAATGTATTTTATGTCGCAATCCAGTAAACATATGTAACTAAAGTAGAAATGTTGTGAAACTATTCCTTAGTCTAGATTATGTAGTTGGATATTTTCTATTTTATTTATTACTCCCCCCCCTTAAAAAAATGCTGGCTATAGCATTCAAAACTTATTTTGATTCGTGAAGTTAGTGATTTTTAAGTGGTGTGCTGAGGCAGGCACACTGGTGTGCCACAAGAAATTTTGAAAAATACAATATCTGACTTTCAGTCAGGGTCACTATTTTTCTTTTAGATTGTCAAAAAAAAAAAGACAACAGCCAACACAACAATAGCTATATGGTGTGAATGAATCAAAATTATACCTATTTTTTTGTCAGATCAGCAAAATATATTTTGTGGTGTGCCTCAGAATTTTAGTAATTATTTTATGTGTGCCATGAGATGTACAAGGTTGAACATCGCTGCACTAAATGGTTCACAAGCTGTAGTGTCCAAGGCACTCTCGTGAGGAGCAAATGAAGGCTTTTAGAAAGAGCAAAAGGTAATGGTCAGAGATTTAGGTGGAACACTCTAGCAGGATGTGGAAGATGGGTTGGAAGGGAGCAAAAATGGAGGAGAGACAGGAGGAAGCTATTTTGGTTGAGAAATGAAGGCCCAAACTAGAGAAGTTATAGAGAAATGGAAAATAGAAAGAGCTAAAAATATTCCAATGGTAAAATTGGCAGGAACCTGTGGTTGACTAGATGTGGGAGGTGAGAAAGAGGAGAGAGATTTAGGTGGAACACTCTAGCAGGATGTGGAAGATGGGTTGGAAGGGAGCAAAAATGGAGGAGAGACAGGAGGAAGCTATTTTGGTTGAGAAATGAAGGCCCAAACTAGAGAAGTTATAGAGAAATGGAAAATAGAAAGAGCTAAAAATATTCCAATGGTAAAATTGGCAGGAACCTGTGGTTGACTAGATGTGGGAGGTGAGAAAGAGGAGAAATTCAAGAATAAGGATGAAGCCCAGTAATTCCCTTGAAATCTACTTGAGGAAATTATTATTTTGTGCTATACTTATAAAATTTTGTTGTGTAAGATAATCATGCATTTACTTAACAAAGGATGCTATCCTGACCATCATTATTCTAAAAACTAGAGGGTTGGTGCAAGGATTCGTGCACAGGTGGGGTCCCTCAGCCTGACCTGCGGGGATTGGGCTGAAATCGGCTCTCTGGTTTATTAAATAACCATGCAACATCCCCTGAGGAGTCCCGGATTTTGAGAGGGCGGTTCTCAGGTGACACACCCCAGAATCAGGCTCCCTCCTCTCTGGTTCTGGGTGCGTCACCTGAGAACTGCAGCTGCCAAGTCACCACAGTTCAGCAGCTCCTGCATTGAGCGTCTGCCCCCTGGTGGTCAGTGTGTGTCATAGCTACCATCGGACGTCAAAGGGTCGGATGGTCATAGGAGATAGTGATGACTGAAAATCAGGGTAGAGAGCCTAATTTAAGCCGATTTTGCCAACCATAAAAATAAACATAACTGAATCAATGAGTTTACTCATAGCTGTTTCCTATTTTTCACTCTAATATTTATAAGCATGTCCAAAGATGCACATGTCTTCCTATCAGATGATTGCCCTCAATGGTGGTGGCTGTGAGTGCATGCATTGCCTGAAGCACACATGTGACCACAGCAATTCTGAGCCCTGGATTTGTGGGCATATACAAATTCTGGCCCCATAGGGACAACTGCCTTTGCAAGCTATGGGTACATCTGGGATTTTCCTCACCTCTTTGTATTTGCATGACCTTGGCCTGAATTAGACGCCCTATGTAGGCAGCTGCTGAGTAGCCTGGCTGTGAGATTTATTTACCACGCCTTTCCAGAATTTACACACATCCTTACATGAACATAATGCTGGGCTGATTTGGTGTTCTAGTGCTCTCCGTATAAGAAAAAGTTAGGCAGCCCTCGCCAGTTTGGCTCAATGGATAGAGCGTCAGCCTGCAGACTGAAGGGTCCCAGGTTCAATTCCGGTCAAGGGCACGTGCCAGGTTTGTGGGCTCAATCCCCCGTGGGGGACATGCAGGAGGCAGCCGATCAATGATTCTCTCTCATCATTGATGTTTCTCTCTCTCCCTCTCCCTTTCTCTCTCTGAAATCAATAAAAATATATTTATAAAAAAAAAGAAAAAAGAAAAAGTTAGGCATAGAAATAGTGCCATACTTCTCACTTGCAAGAGCAACACATTCAGACATGTGGACCCAAGCACCAAGAACGACTGCATTCTTATCAATGCAAAAGGCAAACAATTCTAACGGCCTCCACTTGGTTGTAGGTGTACACATTTACATCAGCAAATTACAGTGGCAAAAATATTTTAAAAATATGAATATTTAAATGTACCAGTATTTTTAAAAATTGTATACCAACTATACATTTGGCATACATTTGTGTTGTTCATGCCTGAAATGTATTTCCAGTTAGAGTCGTCCACTGTACCTCGTGGTCCCGCTGCCTGGCTGCCGTGGCTCTATTCATGTCTTCTGCATCCCTGATATGGTCAAGGGCCTGGTGAAGTGATTCTTGAAGGTCTGACAACTTGGCATTGTAGTCTTCCAGCTGTTCCAGGACCACAGGAAACAGAGAGCGGGTATCATTGTACAGCCGCTGCCAACTCTCAGCCTGGCTCAACACTGGAAGAAAAATGACATGGAAACTCAGTCTGGGCTTCTCTTGTCTCCTCCCATTCCGTCCAGCATTTAGCAGAGATAAAAACTTGTCAGACCATGCCTTCAAAAGCAATAAAGATGGATGGTGTTGATCACAAAATAAGTCCATGCTTCATATTGAAGTAAAAATAATACTATTTTGTAGGATTTGAGAGCCCCTGGATGTCAGTCAGCCAAAAGGAGGGTTTGATTAGCTTTCCTATGAGATTACATTTTATGTGGAAACCATGCAATTATACTATGTTGATTATTACCCAGATTATTTCTAATTTTACCATATAAAATGCATTTGGATATATTATAGTCTTATTATTAAAATAATGAAAATTATCTTGTGTGTTACTGACAAATGATGTTTACAACCATTCATTTTCTCTGTTCTCTCCAGTTAGCTCCTTTAGGTCAAATCTAAATCATTATTTTGGGTGGGAAGAAGATTAAATGGTAATGGTATATGTGTCTTAGCTTTCTGATCAAAGTTGCATGCATTGACTATGTGTCTTCATTCCACTTTTCCTTCAGGGAATATCAATTTGACTTGTTCAGTTTTTTTGTATTTTCTTTCATCACCATGAACAGAAGACAAAAGTTCATGGCTGAGTAAAGAAGTGGTTGAAAATGCCTTCACTAGTCCCATTTCTCTAGGGAAG